AAAAAAAAGCCTCTCGCTTCTACATTTGATGCATTTTCTTCTAGTGAGCTTCCCACATGTTATCTGGGTGGATTGATCACATTTATACATGTTGAATTTCATTCTTTTCACTTAACACTATAACAATCACATCCTCAAGATGCTAAAAATCTGTAAGTTTGTGCCATTTTCAGTAACTGCAATGTTCTACCACTTAACGTGGACCTAAATCATTCATGTTCTGAATAATTATAGGTTGTACTCGTGACCACTTATATGCAGTTGAGTACAATCTTTTTAAGGAAAATTTCTGGAGAGGAAACTTGGCACGAGCTTCCCATGGATTGGTGCAGATGGTCAATGTGCCACTTCCGTCCTTTAGGAAAAGCTTCTGGGCAATACCTTCCCCTTCAGGGAACAGGACACAGTCAACTTCTTCCTTGCTACATGGTTGCTTTATCCCAGTGACACAGGTTTGTGGCTGGTGGGCTCCCTGGGAGCTCTGGAGTCCAGGGGTGGCTGGTGGCGGGAAGTAGGGTAAGGAGCACGAGAAGGGTGACGGGGTGGGGCACGCACCTCCCAGCTTGGGCTGCTGATTCGAGTTACTTGGAAGCCTTAAAAACTTCCCAATGCCTGGGCTCTACCTGGAATGAAATTCCTTCAGAATTCCCGGGGGTAGCTCAGGCATCAGTGATGATGAAAAGCTCCCCACCCATAGTTTTTACCCATAGCTTTTACAAATGTAGGTTGAGTATCCCAAATCCAAAAACCCCCAATCTGAAACTTTTTGAGTGCTGAGCTGATGCTCAAAGGAAACGTTCACTGAAGCATTTTGGATTTTAAATTTGGGATGCTCAACTCGTGAGTATAGTGTACATATTTCAAAATCCTCCCCCCAAAACCCTCAAAATCCCAAACTGTTCTGGTCCAAAGTACTTCAGATAAGGGAACTCGACCTGTGATGGTGATGGTTAAGAATCATCGTCTTGGAGGTGGGTTTTCTGTCCAGGGCTAGGCCTGCCTGGAGCAACAGAAACTGAGACTCCAGGACCTGGGGGCAGCTTCCTGGGCATCCGCCACTGGAGAGTGTGTGTGTGTGTGTGTGTGTAAAGCTGCTCTGTCACAGTGTGGCACTGGCATCTTGCCACTTTGGGAGTCCACCAGTGGGAGGCAGCAGGTGGGCTGGGCGGTAGCACAGGCATCAATCCTGCTTACGCCACCTCCACGTGGAAACCGATGGCGTCCATCAGAGGCCTCAGAACTGCTGAGAGGCTGTTCTGAGAACTGTGGCTGGCTGGAGATGCTGTGACGGCGAGTGAGGTGTGGGCTGCCCTTGCAATAATGTCACAGGACTGCAGGCCTGGCCTGGGGCTCTCAGGCTGCACATGGCTTCAGTGTCCTTTGAGAAATGAATCCCACAGATGGGGTTTGACCATAGACAAGCAATCAGGGAGCTTCTCCCCGTTCCCTGTTTAACTGGGTCATGGGCCTCAGGACAGGCAGAGCCAAGCACTCTTGGTCCAGCTTCTGTTGGTCAGTATTTCATCCAGAACGTGATGTGGCCACTTGAGTTGTGGCACATACGAACTAGAACCTGTGCAGGAAAGTCCCCTCCCTGGGGAAAGTACAACTGCCTGCGATGCTACCCTCCTGGAGGCCACGGGGATAATGAGAACAGAGACACTGACTGCCACTCCTTCCAGTCCTAATTTTCTAAGCTACTTGTTTATTTATTTATTTACTTTATTTATTTATTTTTTTTTGAGATGGAGTCTAGCTCTGTCGCCCAGGCTGGAGTGCAGTGGCGCGATCTCGGCTCACTGCAACCTCCACTTCCCAGGTTCAAGCGATTCTCCTGTCTCAGCCTCCTAAGTAGCTGGGACTACAGGCATCCACCACCACGTCTAGCTGATTTTTGTATTTTTAGTAGAGACAGGGTTTCACCATGTTGGCCAGGCTGGTCTCCAACTCCTGACCTCAAATGATCTACCCACCTCGGCCTCCCAAGGTGCTGGGATGACAGGCATAAGCCACTGTGCCCAGCCATCTATTGATTAATGCTCGTGTGCCTTTCTTCATTGAATGAAGTGGTCACAGTGGTTTTCTCATTTACTCTGTTAACACAGCGGACCACAAGAATAGATTTTCTTTTACTACCATTAAAGAATTCCTGACTCTCTTGGGATGAACCTTACCTTGTTAAGATACAATAGGTTTTCTAATAGATTCCGGGATTTGTTTCATTAATACTTTATTTAGAATAGATCTCTTAGGTTGTGCTCAGTGGTTCACACCTGTAATACAAGCACATTTCTGGGAGGCTGAGGTGGGAAAATTGCTTGAAGCCAGGAGACTGAGACCAGCCTGAGCAACATAGCGACACCCTATCTCTACAAAAAAGAAAACTTAATGTATGGAATAAATATGTTAAAATATGTTGCCTTTACTTCTCCTTCCTCACATTGCATTTAGTAGGAAGGTCTTATCAGCCTTATGAAAGAGGAGCCATGCTTCCCCTTTTTCCTGTCCTCTGGAAGAGATCTGATAAAGACAAGAATTCCAGAGCTGTCTGGGAGACATATGGGGTAGGGCTTGGGCTGAGGTGAGGGACAGAAAAGGAGTGAGCTGGGAGGTCATGGGCTGGGGGTTTCCAGACTGAGGGCTGGGGGACTAAGATGGGAACTTTGGGGATAGGGAAATGCTGAGGTCAGTTGTGGGCAGGTGTTTGAGAAGCCCTAGAGGGTGGCCAGGTGGCTGCTCGCTGGGCCTGGGACTCTTTATTTCTTTATTTGCTTGCATTTGAGACCCCAAAGAACCCCAGAGCTCTTTAATGAGGTCTCAGCCGTAAACCTGAACATAGGTGTGGCCAGAGGACAGGTGGCTGTGAACAGCCTGGGAAAAGTGGGGACACCTGAGAGAAGGCAAGAAGAGGACAGGTGTCGGGGGGTGGACAGAGAAAAAGGACTCAGTGAATGACCCCGAGAAAGTACCAGGGAGGAGGGTCTTGTGGGGAGAAGCGGGGAGAAGCGAAGGAGGCAGAGTGGCCCCACAGCAAAGAAGGGATCGTCCGAGTCAGGGACTGTATCACGGCGCCCACCTGCCAGCTCCTTTGCTTGTGGTCTGTAGGTGATGCTCCAAATCCAATCTTGAACACAGGACTGGCAAACTTCTTCTGTAATGGGCCAGATAGTAAACATGCCCAGCTTTGTGGGCCATAGGATCTTGGTGGCAGCTGGCCAAATCTGCTGTTGTAGCAGAAAAGCAGCCATGGGGAAAAGGCAGATGAATGGGTGTGGCTGGGCTCCCATGAAACCTCACTTAGGAAGACAGGCTTTCCTACCCCAAGTGGCCATGACTCTGGGACCTTGGCATTGCATTTGTGATAAAAATAAACGGTGTTCCCCGACCCTCACACATGGCTCCCATCTAACCAGTTTACAAGTTTCAAACACAGACACACTGAACATCAGACAAGGCTCTTACATAGGGACTGTGCATCGGTCAAGGCTCTTCAGAGAAGCAGAGCCAATAGGGTGTGTGTGTGTGTGTGGAGAGAGAGAGAGAGGAGAGTTTCACTCTATTGCCCAGACTGGAATATAGTTATGCGATCATGGCTCACTGCAGCCTCAACCTCCAGGGCTCAAGTGATCCTCCTGCCTCAGCCTCCTAAGTAGGTAGGACTACAGTCATGTACCATCATGCATGGGTAATTTTTTGTTTTGTTTTTTGTAGAGATGGGATCCCACTATGTTGCCCAGGAGGCCTTAAACTCCTGGCCTCAAGCAATTCTCCCACCTTGGCCCCTCCAAGGACTGGGATAATAGGTATGAGCCACCTTGCCTAGCCTGAATAATTTTTTCAAAAAATAGAATTTATAAGTAATGTTGGGAATTATATGGAAAAACTCCCACGTTTTTATCTGATGCCACAAGGTGTCAGAGAAATAGCTGCTAATGTGTGCTCACAGGTCTCCTGAAGATGCAGGAGTATCTGCCTCCCGGCAAAACACTTTGAGATTCAAACCTTAGTTTTAAGTGAGAGATTGGAGAGCTCCTGGAAGTGTCCTATTCAGAGAGGGTAGGAAACACTTAACTTGGTCAACCCTTGAAGACAAAAGGCTTGCCTCTTGTCTCTGCTGTTTGATTCCGAAGGAAGCCACTCCTCTCAGCATCCCCTCTGACAAGAACAGTGTGGCCATTGGGTCCTGTCTAGGGTGAACCTCAGGGAGGGTGAGATGTGATCACTGTTAGGATGTTCAAAGGCAGCTTTGGAGAGTCTCGGAGGGCTCCGCTTAAAACTGGATGGGGCACACAGATATTAGGAAATAACTCTGAGTCCCAGGCTGTCTGAGGGGAGATCATCTATGTAACCAAGAGGCAAGTGGCAAGCTGACCTGTGGCCTCTGCACCCCCATCCTTGGCAGGCATTCCTCATTGGTTGTGACCCTCTGTCCTCTGCACCCCCATCCTTGGCAGGCATTCCTCATTGGTTGTG